AATATTTCTTTATTTTGTCTTTAAGGGCATCCAGAACATCGGTTGGCGAGTAGTTAAATCCTTCTCCTGGAAAAATTTTTATTACAGCAAAAATCACTCGTAATAGGCCAATAAAATTTCTCTTGATACCCTCGGAGCCCAGTGATTCATATTCAATTATACCACGGAGAATATTAAATTCTCCTTCTGTTAGCACTAGGCAGGTTGATGGTCAGGGTCACTGTCGCTTGTCGCCAACTAATCGTTCGAACATTTTTCCATATATCATAAAACGCTATTCTCATTAACTCGTCAACTGGTTGCACAACAGCTGTAATGACGAGGCTACCCGATGCCAGGGACCAAAGACTTTTATCGCAGACCTGTTTCTGATGGCTCTGCACACCTGATGCGAGAGGTGATTTAAAACCGACGAATAATTACGAAAAGTGTTTTATGGCTCGTAAAAACTAGGGAGCTCCGAGTGTCGATCTAATGATTCAAAATACAATTTAACGTATTTTAGAAAATAGTGAATTTTTCGAGGCTGCTGGGTACTTGAAACAGGGTAAAACGTTTTTCTCGTTAAAGAAACCGATGAACCGAGAGGAAAGGATTCCTTGACTCGGTTGCGACCAGCTAACGTGACGATGTTCCGAGTCGGTGCCTCTTCCGAGGTTATAACCGCGGCTTCGAGTTCCTTCGGGGTCAGGAATTCGAACTCGGTAAGAACCAGGCCGTTATTTTTCGAGGATCTCCGATCCTTTTCACGCTCAAGCTACGGTTCGCGGATACTTGCTGCGAATACGAGCTGGGAAAAATTTTTAACTCGAGAATTTTTTAACGTTTCAGTGATTATTTGAAAATTTTAATATGCCATTTGCAAAATTATGAAATAATAAATTAGAAATTTAATTTTTGAATTATTTGATAAGCCACGCCATTTCTACCGAACGTGTTGAGCGCCGCGTGGTTGAATTTCGCGCGAGATAAGAGTGCGTTTGTGGAAGGTATAATTGATGCTGGACTCGGTCCAGGATCGCGTTTGCCCTTAAGAGTTTGGAACTGGGTGGAGAAAATATAGGTTGTCTTCGTTGCTGGGCCTTTGGAGGGCCGCGGTCGCCCGCGGTGCAACACGAGGATGATATATTCGCTGCAACTGCAGCTGCACCACCGCACGGACAACACGGCTGGCTCGGTCTTTCGTGAGATTATGAAACTTCTGCTTATATTTCTGCACGAAGACAATGAGATGTATGCGTCGAGATGAGATCCCTTGGTTGCTTCTTAAAAAGGGCCTGAAAATTTTTCTAAATTATTCACTTCACCTGTCGAGCTACAATAATACGAGCAGAATAATTTAATTTCCAATTGCCATCAAGAATTTATCAATTTCAACGCATAAATCTCCTTCAGGAAATGTCGTAAAAAAGCTTCGCATCGAACATTTCTTTTCCTCCGACAGAAAATAATTGAGTTGCAAATGAATGTTGATGGCAACAAGTAGCAAGAAGGTATCCCACGTATAATTTCGTGGCTATCGTACGCGAAGACTCGCGAGAATGATCGAGTCGCTCGTTTTAATACACGCTCATCAGAGGAGCGGTGAAAAATCCGATTCCGGGGGGCAACAGTTTGCTCTAAATACATTTTAATGAAACAGAACGTCCGTGTTTCTCTCTGATACACTCTCGACAATCTCCACGCGAAGTTGCACGCAGCAAAAAGCCGCGGTTCGATCAACGAGGGGACATCGTGCACTATAATTTCGTGCTACTTGCGGGCGCCACAGCTCACGAGCATAATTGATACCCTGATTTCAGGTCTGTAATTCATAATAATCAGCTAAGAGATCGCGAGCAGAGTCTACCGTCCGTGGCAATATTCTATTCCGAGCGGTAATTTAATCTAATAAAAGAACGCCTTTTTCTTGTAGATCGACCTGGGTAATTTATCTACAAATGTTGCACATGATAAAAATAAAAAAGGAAGCATAGTTTTCTTCTGAGAAGAGTGCGTTGCAGAGACACAGCTGTAATTTCCTGTCTTTTACAATAAAATAATTCGAAGCAAAGTTTAGACGACTCTAGACACGATTTATGGTGACTAATAACAGCGTAGGTGGATTAGTTTTCAACTATTATTTATGCAACTGTGTTGGAGGGAAAAACTGGAGGAAATCGAGACTCCGTCGTTGGAAGGAAATATATTTGTATCGCGATGCAAATTATCGGAACTATAAAACGGCAGGTTTTACGCGCAATGCTTGCGAGGAAAGGATAGGTTTCTTGGAGATTGTAAGTTCGTGAAATTATTGGCGCGGTGTTAGAATTCTAATCCGGCAAAATATTTTTATTGTTCAAAATGCGAATACTGAAACGTATTTGGAGAATAAAATCTTACGAGGTTCTTCGAAAGAAATATCAGAACATCTTAATTTCTGAGAAAGGCTCATACGTTGGTGACATTTGCTCTCGAAAGTAAGAAAGTAGGCCAAGGTAATTTATGATAATTGATAGTGCAGTGAGGTTGAAAAATCTGGGTCGTGGATGTCAACAAGTCTTTTGGAAGAAATTTTAAACATAAATTTGACTCTCAATGGATTATAATGATTAATTAAAAAAATGTATTGCAATTTCCTTTAGCAGGAAATTTTGTTCAATTTAATTCCGCGAAATTGACCCATTATCCATATCTAATAACGGTCTGCCGGCCCTGTTTTACCCCTTCGGTCGTCGGAACAACTTTTAGTTAATTAGCGTTTACCTCGACCAGCTTCCATTCTTACGCGCTGTTATACCGTTAGAGTCGTACCGTGTTATCGGAAATTTGAAACAAACAATGTCGACCGTGTCCCGGGTGATAGATGGCCGTGTTCTCGGTCGTTTCTGGCACGAAGACGCTCGTTTAGCGGCGATGTCAGCTGCATCGCGCGCGCGTAAGGGAGAACGGGATAATTAGGTGTACGCCAAGCTGGTGGAAGCGAGTAAACGGCTTGTAAAGCGAGACGCGGCACGGGCTAATTTGTGGGAGCCCCGTTGCTTCATGCTTCTTCCTTTTTCGTAATTAGTCGGCGAGCAGAGAGGTTGCTGAGCTTTGCTTCGTTAGCGATCGTGGTTATGCTTGTGTTAACGAACGATGGATGGATTCTGAAGTGAAATGTTCTAGCTTTTCAAATTAGAAGAAGCTAGAGAAAATCAGTAGATTATATCCGCTTATCTACAGAGAAATTTTAGCGTTGGTCAACTTTATTTTGAACCGGTTAATTAAATCATCCGATGATAAGACAAAGCAATTTTCGAGAAGCTAATTAAGTGTACTTGAAGATAAGATTTGATTTTGATTTTATTTTGAAGTATTCCTTCTCAAGATTGTTTATGAATTCAAAGTGCTGATTAATTAATTGCATCCGCTTGTGTAATTAAAATGTGCTATTATTAGAATATCTCATAAATAATGTTATTATTCATCTTAGGTAAAATCAGATATTCATTTTGAATATCAATTAAGAGACTTTATATTAAAATAAAGGAATCTGATTAATTTCAAATCATTCTACATCTTCCTGCAATGTACTCTTCACAACCCATTATCTATAAACTAGAAAACTAACATGAAGAATAAATAATGTTATTATTCATCTTAGGTAAAATCAGATATTCATTTTGAATATCAATTAAGAGCCCTTATATTAAAATAAAGGAACCTGACTAATTTCAAAGCATTCTACACCTTCCTACAATGTACTTTTCTAAATCCATTATCTATAAACTAGAAAACTAGCATGGAGAATAAATAATATTATTATTCATCTTAGGTAAAATCAGATATTCATTTTAAGAGCCCTTATATTAAAATAAAGGAACCTGACTAATTTCAAATCATTCTATACCTTCCTACAATGTACTCTTCAAAATCCATTATCTATAAATTAAAAAACTAGCATGAAGAATTTATCCATTCGATCGTATCGTTCCAAATCACTCCAGTCACACGTATCTTCATTTATCGCGATCTCAATTCCTGAGGAGAGTAAAAGAAGCATCCACGCATTCTCTGGAAAAAAGAAAAACCTATCACGAAATCAAGAACTCTTACAAATTCCTGCATGAAACCCAAGGACTCTTAGCACGACCTCGATCTACGCTGATCTCGATCTACCGGTGGAATGCACGAAGAAGAAGAAGAAGAAGAAGAAGAGGACTGGTCTGCCTTTGCGTGTACGAGTCGCATTAGAGCGGTGAATATTTCATTCATAAGCGTATCAGCGTATTCCGCGCGGCGAACGATCATAGTACGGTGTGAGTGGCCGCATAAGCGTGCAATGCAGCCGGGGGTAAGTTGCAGCAGTTGCAGCTGCAATTACGTACGTGGCCCCCACGATTCCGTGAATGAAACGTCCGTCCCTTTTTTCCTCCTCTTCCGCCTCTTCCTCTCGTTCCACCTGCTTATCCTTCTCCGCGCCGCTTCGTACACGCCTTCCTCTTCAGTTCCTCCTCGCGATTCGATCCGTGCGAGCCCAGCTCGACCGACTTTTTGCGGAACGGAGGTTTAATGAGCTAGCGCCGTGGCGTTCCGCGTCGTTGAGGATGCACCTTGTTGCGCTTCGCGACGCGCGACCTCGTGAAATTCAATGCGCTTCGACCTTCGGACGCGTCCGTACCGAGGTCAAAGGCTGACAGAAAATTCGAAAGATCTTTCCTCTCAATTTTCTTGCTTAAATTTCCACGTAATTCCGTGATCCTTCCAAACCTCCTTCCTCGAGGTTGAGGGTCGAAGGTTCGCTGCCGCGCGTGGGCTGCTGATTCATTGTCCACGCGTGGGTGTCGTTGTTTGGGCGAACGAGGAGGAGATGAAGATGTAGATAAAAAAGATTTAATTGATGAATTGAACGCTATAAGAAAGCTATAATAAAAATGTCCAAGTGGAAGTACCAAGTTCAAATGAAAAAAAGGCACCCTTCCCTAAATCCTTGATCAGAGATATTTTGAACTGACCAAAAAATTCTATTTTTGTTTCAGAATTTCCGTGAGCACCGTATCGACGGAGCTGCATTGCCTCTTCTCTCGGAGGACCACCTGACAGGTCCCATGGGAATGAAGCTCGGCCCTGCCCTGAAGCTCCGCGCCCTGTTAGCCCGAAAGCTCGGGGCATGCACGGTCTGTCTGCACTGTGCGCACTGTCATCAGACACCCTTGCCTGCGCTGAATGCAGCCGCGGCCGTGGCAGCCACGTCTCAGCAACAGCAACAACAGCAACAACAGCAACAGGTGCCTGGCAGACGGCCGAGTAGTACAGGGAACTGACAAACAATGGCGGAGACTCCTTTGGGCCCAGAGGGCGCCACGGCGCCCTCGTCGGACCCGAATAGGGCCCTCAGGATAGAACGGCGCGTATCGCGTCCCGTACGCAAGCCGGAAGTGGTCTTCAAGAAGCCCATCAAACAGTGACACGGTGACGATCATCGTGGACCCTGGTGTTCTGGAGGCTCCGCCTAGTTGTTCGAGTGTTCGTTGGCATGCAACGATGTTGAGATATTGAGTACCTGGAATAATCGCTCAAAATGACTGGAGACATAGACTTTGGTGCGTTGTACTTAGATACATCTGGGTATTTTTAAGCCAGTTCGTACGCGAGAACTGTGTCGTTCGGGTGTGAGTGGGTGTAATTTAGGGTTCTGGAACAGATGGTTGATGAGATTGAGTACCCAGATAATTTGATTCTTCGAGTTGGCTCATGGGTTGGTATGAGGTGTAGACAGGAAGTTCACTGGAATTTTAGGCTCAGAATTATTTCTTCTATTTTTTATTTTACATTTTTGGTTGCAGAAAGCAGAAACTGATCATCAAATTTTCTATCTACACTTGGTATTTAAGTACGTACCTCTCTGTACAAAGAGGTAACACTCGTGAAATGTTTAATAAACAGCCACCCTATCTATAAACAATTTTGATACTCGTATCAAGCTTGTTCTAAATAAAATGTAATATTCTAAAACAGATACTCAGTGCCTGAAATAGGAGTACTTGTGCCTTAGACATAGGCAGTTTCGTTTGAGCGTTAGAAAAAATTGTTGGTGGCAGAATTGGTAATAAATTTTTGAAATGAATGAAATTAATCAGTAGAGACACATGGTACACGCGTTAAGCTTCCTTTTTCTTTTCTAAGGAATAAACGAAGGATAACTAACGAGCATTAATCTCGTTATCGCGCATAAATTAGAAATAGACACGCGATGAACAGGAAGAAGATGACTACTAGATAATCGAATTAATTAGCGATGCGTCCGTACGAGCTAACCGGAATTACATGTTCGATTCTTCGCGAGTAATTAGCGTGTTGAATGTAACATTGAACATACCCGGCTTAAGGATAAATGGAAATGAACGTTGGAATAATTATAGCAGGAATAAGACGCTAATAGGATCGAGAATTGAACCGAACGTAAGTTGGTTGAAATTTGAGAATCAACGAAACGAGTGCCTATGTTGAAAATAAAGTCTTCCAAAGGCTAGCCTTTTTAGATTGAACAGTTTTGTGATTATATGAAGCGACTCGTTGAAATTGCTGTTGTTAAACACTTGTTATATCCCGTTACCTGATATCTCAGTTCATTATATTACTTAACGTCAAATCAATTTATATTTCATGTCTATAATTTTAATGAAACTTATTCGAGAGTATTAAATTTGTAATATTGGTCGCTGATAACCCCCATAATATCAGATATTAAAAATAATTAATCCATTAATCAATTCGAATAATTTCAAGAATCCAACAACGACAGAAATAAGTCACGATCGCTATCCTCGTTTCAAAATGAGGATACGAAACCGATCAGAAAAAGAAACGAAAGGAAGGTATACGTGAATACGTACTAGATTATATATAAAACAATAACACGAATAATAGTTTTGTTGTCGGTGAGAATGTGTAAAATAGGAATGAAAGAAGAATGATGCGTGAGATCGAGAAATCGAGGACAACAGTTAATTAGCGGAAATCTATGTGCAATAAACGATGATAAGGAACGTTTCGACGCGATACTTTTAACTATATGATAGGTGAATACGTATTTGCTCAAATCGTTGTTTCTTTTATATATTTTAACGAAGTTTTTATATAAATGAATTATAATGATAAAGTATACTAAATTATATTTTTGCTAACGTTCCACGTGAAACGTAAATGAATTTGTAATTCACACACGTTCACGTTTGAACGAAAAATATACATGTATGTGTACACGTGAACAGGAATGAAATATAAAAGAAAAAAGATACATGCGATAGGAAACGACGTATAGATTAACGAGCGATGAACCCATAATGATAGAATTACAAGAAAATTGTAAATTAATATTTCTTCTTCTTTTATTTACAACGTTTAACGTTTATTTATTTAGAAGTAAACCGTTGCCTTATTGTATTCATGTAATAACAATTTAGTCGTAACGACGGTTCGTAATGAGAGTTGTTGATGAGAGTTCGTAAGACGAGCAGTATTTTTAGATTTACATTAGCCTGAATTTACTGCAGACTATATACATTTATAAATATTATCCATACATACACTTACAAGCGTGCTCGCGCGCACACAACACCTGTTCGTGCTTCCAGTTGTTTCATTTCAATATTATAATGAAAGAATAGTTCACTGCAAACTTTGATTAATATCTAAGTAAGAGAAAAAATTTTTTAATCCTAAATAATGCCTAAGCCTGTTCATGTCCAGTCTCATTAAATGAATTCTTCATTTTCTAAAATTAATTTTTCAATTCATCATTTGTCGATTCTTTTTTCTGTAAAATAAATTTCATTCAACAGAGTAAAATACGGAAGGCACGAGCAGACATTAACCGAGCTAGCGGCTTTTACTTAAACCGAGATCACTTTGTACATAATGCTTAAGCATTTATTTATACCGTGCTTTTACGAAAGGACCCGTAGTATTTTATTTAGTTTCGTAGCCGGGTTTCACGTACATCATTACTGCGTAGCACGAGATCGTTTACATTGTCGGATAGAGAGCAGGATTTAATTTGAATGCGTGTGTACAGAAATGCAAGAAGGAGAATAGAAAATATGCGAAGAATGAAGAAAGAGATTATTTAAGAGAAAGTATCATAGGAATATTATACAGAAAGTGATAAGGAAGAAGAGGGTTTAAAGAAGCGAACGATAAGGCAATCTTGTGATACTTTAATGTTTTTTTTTCTCTGTCCAATTTTCATCTTCTGTTTCCTTTCACAATTAATTTCTGCTACCACATCCAATCGTTGTCTTCCCCCCTTTATTCTTTCGGCACCCCTTTTTTTATCTCTTCATCGCGATTCTATCGTGTATTATTCTACGATTAGCTGTCATATTATGTATAGTAGAGACTAATGGTGAAAAGAGAACAAGAACAGTACATTGTTTCTGTTAAAATAAACATTGTTGAAAAATACTTCTGGCAGAATTGTTTTTATGTTTTTATTGCTGCCCTGATCATCGATGGAAATGATTAAACGATTCCAGTAATTTTTGAATATGGATTTTGAATATGGTGAATAGGGATCTGATATATAAATAAAAGATAACAGTGTTTTTAGTTTCTGCCCGCAGAACTAAGTGGCATAATTTATTGCAATTCTTTTTCATACAGTATGTAAAATAAATATGTGTTAGAACATATCAATGAACAGAAGACTTCTGTAGTTTCCAAAGTCTTCATCAGCCATGTATTTTAGGCAACTTTAGCCTGAAAACAGAAAACTTAATTTTAATATATCTTTTGATAATTTGACAATTGAAAAATCATTTTGTACATCAAATTTAGAGAATATACCAAGTAGTTTTGAATGCTAATAATTTATAAAGAAAATAAATGTCAAGAACTTACCCCTTTATGAATAGCCAGAACACCATCGTCTTCTCCTTGTCGGATCTCAATCTGTGCTGAGCCGTTTCCTTGCACGTTTACGACCTTTCCGGTGCATCTTCCATTAACCAAGTTACCGGAAATCACGTCACAGTATTGTCCAGCTGGGAGACAGGTATGGAGAGTAGCTCTTAGGTCCGATCGATCTCCATTGATCGCTATGAATCCAGCATTTCCACGACAGAATGCAATTTGATTCGAGTTATTGTCCCACCAGTTGTTCACGCCGGTTCCTCTTACGGCGTTACGGAATCGCGCCATGTTGTAAATTTGTCGCCAACGGTGCTCGCAGACCCAACCACCACTGCAGGAATTGTCCTGATTGAATTTTGGAGACAGGATGTTGCCTCGGCCGTCTTGGGGTGGGCCTTGATCACGGTTGTTGAAGTCGAAGGAGCTCATCACACGGGGTGTGCCAAATGGATGGGCCAACATGAAAGCCACTGCCATCTAGAATAAATTTAATTAAAAGGTAATTACTAATTTTAGATTGTAAATGGGTTAAAATAAAAATTGTTGTAATACTTTGTTCAAAAAAAATTAAAGAAGCAATGCGAGTATCTGCAACGACACGAATGTCTGACCATTGATTGACTTGTTCTACTAGTTTGCACCGAAACTTCGTTATTTGAGAAATGTCACTATTCACAGTGTTACTATAATGAACTTTACAGATAATTTAATTATTATTTAGCAATTTTATATATTTAATTTAATAATTAAGATACCTTGTATTGTTTAGGAGACTTATAAGTGAGCACGTTGGAATCACGTTGAGTGTCATGATTATCAACGAAAACTAATGAGTCCTGGGAAGGTAGAAGGCCCCACTTTTCTCCCCAATTGGTCAACCACTTCAGAAGGTTATGCCCTTGGAAGGCATTAGAAAGTTCTTTCGCATATTTGAACTCAACCACTGCTCCAATTTTGTTGTAGTGTTCTTTCTTGATTGCCTCACCACCGTAATCGATCACTTCCTGGAAAATGTACGGTCGGGCACCATTTGGAAAACCATGGTGGGTATTCAGATTGTGCAACCTCGAGTAAATAATGCTTAGATCTTCCGGCCACATGTGCTTGGCAGCGTCCATTCTAAAAACGAACAAAAGCAATTACATTAGATTTTCGTAATTTTTAATATCTTATAATATTAATGCAAACCTAAATCCGGCAACACCAGCGTCAACGGCTTCGTTCATAAAGTTGACAATCTTTTCGCGAACGTATTCAAGGCGTTGATTCAAGTCGTGCAGTCCAGTTAATTCACAATCTCTCACGTTCTGCGGATTGTTGTAATTAGTGATCGCACAAGGCTGATGGAAATGCTCGGCATGGTACGGTGGTTGATAATATTCACGGTTGTACGTGTTTGCTTTGGAATTTG